TTGGATATTCTCTGGGTTTAAATATTGTTGGGGCAGTCACCCACACAGTGATTAGTACTGGAGAATGAGCAATATTTCTGTTTACTTCAGACTGGAAAGCCCTGCAGGTCATAAAATTAAATGAAGCAAATACAGGGCTAATCTCTCTCTGTCTCTCTCGGTCCAGCTGGATGGATGACGATCTGGTATCTACACTGACTCCCAAGCTAATTGGAGAACATCCCAACACTTACACCTTCACCAAATCTCTGGCCGAATATATGGTGCAGCAGGAGGCTGGAGACCTCAACGTAGGCATTGTCAGACCCTCCATAGTTGGAGCCAGCTGGAAAGAGCCCTTCCCAGTGAGTAATTCCAAATGCTGGTGTTACGCTGCGTTTTCATTATTACTGTAGAACCTTAAATTGGTAACGAACAATGCATAATCGTGTCTTTTTATATATTATTTGGATTTGTTCCCCCCCAAATTTGGTCTTCTTCACCTCTCCTTTTTGCCAAGCACAATTGTGGGAATTCTCCTAAAGTTTAAGCAGCAGTGTGATTGATTTATTTTTTATTAAGTCTGTTGAACATCTGCCTGAAAGTTATATTTCAGCTTTAATATTTTCATTGCTTTTGTTAAACTTTGTCATTCAGCTTTGGTGAGTAAGCGCATTGTTTCAACATTAATATTCTATCTTTCAGGGCTGGATTGATAACTTCAATGGACCCAGTGGGATTTTCATTGCAGTAAGTACACAGGAAAAATAACTGTAGGTGGGGTCTAGAAGCCTAAACTGTTTTATGATTGCTCATATTTACAGCACAATCAGAGAGCTTTGAGTGGTATTGAAGCATTTAAGATTCTGGTGGTAATTTACTGTTATTCATGATGATTGGTTACATAAACAACTGTGCCGTATGTTTGCTTTGAAGAGCTAGTTGTGGTTTATTAATTGTTATAAAGTCTGTGGTGTGATTTGTGATTGTGGTGTGTTTTCCACAAATCAGTTGCATTAATACTTCCTCTACGCCACCCCCTCTTAGGCTGGTAAAGGGATCCTCCGAACAATGAGAGCATCTAATAATGCTGTGGCTGACCTGGTTCCTGTAGATGTGGTCATCAACACTACGCTGGCTGCAGGCTGGTACTCAGGATCACAGGTGCTTAACAGGTGAGAGACCCACACATTAACACAACTTTAGTCAATATTTGTTTTTTAATTCATCTTAGTTCCTCTGACATCTTTCCCTTTTTACGGCAGGCCTAAAAGCATACCCGTGTACAATTGTACAACTGGTGGGATTAACCCGTTTCGCTGGGGAGAAGTCGGTAAGACAATTTCTTGCCTAAACGCAGCCTATGAGGGGGAAGCCCCTGACAGTGGAAGCTTATGTGCTTTAACGTGGCATCTAATGATATACCCTCACTGTAACTTGATTCCCGGCCTGCCACACCCAAAGCAGAAGCTTTTGTTTACCTGTCCCTTATGGATATTGATTTAGGGCAGTAAAGTATCCCAAGCGCATCTTTCCCCAGTATAGAAGTTGCACATTTTGGAAAACTGTTCATAATCTCATCATGTCCTGTATTTGTGCTGAATTCTCTTAATGCTTTGCATTTAAATTTCATGGTTTAAGCTGTAGCTCCTGCTCTAAGTGCAGTGTTTTAAGCTTTTAAATGTAAAACCGCTATGTCCTAAAACTTGAATTCTGGTGTGCTGGCAGTTAAATTACTGAGCCAGGTGCAGGGCTTGCATATATAAAATTAGGGTGGCAGCGACCGTGACAGAACGAGCTTGAGAGTCACTCCCCTTTGTTTAAAGTTGCACTGTGCATTAAAAAGGTGACAGATAACAGCATGACACAGTTTCAAATAGGAACTGAGAACGAAATGACTTTATCCAGATCATGTAGAGGCTCGCCTCAGAGTTTAAATGATATTACACAATTTCTCAGTTTGCAGATCTTGACAACTCCTGCTGCATACAGTGCTGTGCAAAAGTCTTGAGCCACCCCTCATTTAATTAGTTTGCTTCCAAGTTGTCAGATTTCTTTAGTATTATCATTGGTGGCCGTGAGTAACAGTTCTCCAGGCTTTCTAAAGGTCCTTTAAAGTTTTTGGGGTTTTTTTTCTTAGCTGCTTTTTTCACTTATAAAAGAAGTGAGACGGGGACACTGCACAAGAACTGGAGCAAAAACCAGCGGCAACAGGTCTGATGGAGCGATTCATCCAAATGTGAAATTATTGTTCAAATCATTAGTATGTACAGAGCTGGTCAAAGGTTCACAGTGAGTGTCTACACCAATCTATAGAGCAGGGTGGAGGCTCTCTCATGGTTTGTGGCTACATTTCACCCAGTGTTGTTGGATATCTTGTCAAAATTGGAACTGTGAACACAAACGTGCCTCTGTAGACTGATCCACTATGCAGTACCATCTGCTTGGCAACAGTTTCATTTTTCAGCATGACGATGATCCTGAACACACAGTAAACCTGGATGGAAAAGTGTAGGATCATCTCGACAGAGAATGGAACAAAGGGCACCCAAAATTCAAAGAAGAGCTTTAAATGCCCTTAAAGAACCCTGGAGAACAGTTCCTGAGGACTACTTAAAGAAATTTCAAATTTTTTCTCCACATGGAGCATGCATTCACATCCATTTTGATAGTTTGGACAGGTTGCTGAGTTCTCATATTGAAGTGAAGTGTGATTATTCTCACACTGAGCCATTCAACAGCGGTAACGAGTAGCTCAAATGTAGAGGAGGAGTCAACAGGACTGAACAGGCCAATCGCAGCAGTTGCAGGCTGATCGCCACACAGGTGGTGGAGGTGCACATTTGGTTGCATCAGTTGCTGTTATGACACACCTCATCCCCTGTAATGCTGCCATTTTTAGATGCCTGATGTTATTCACCTTACATTATTTGTTATTGTATTAGCACCCTTTTGTCTAGCTAGTTTCCGAACAGCTAAGGCAGTTGAAAACTAGGAAATCTAACTTTTTCTAGTTCCGGTACAAACCTTGTAGCTTTGTATATCTGCAGAACATATAGTATAGTTTTCCCACATGGCTCAACCTTCTAGCCAAAGGCAAAACAATGTAACGGCAATCTTAAAGCTGCTCATTGATGACTTGTGTTGAACAACCTTCTGTTTCTTAGAGTACCATGTAATATCCACATTCAAGAGGAACCCCCTTGAGCAGGCCTTCCGTCGGCCCAATGTTAATCTCACATCCAATCACCTAATCAATCAGTACTGGATCGCCGTGAGCCACAAAGCTCCGGCCTTCCTCTATGATCTGTACCTCAGGCTGATTGGACGAGAACCCAGGTAACCTCGTCATTGCCGTTTCGGATGTGCCGTGCCGCTGCTGTTCTAACAGAACCCCCTACCCCAAACACACACACACTCGCATTTCCGCCGGCTTACACTGTCACCCTTCCTTTATCGAAGTAGCCTAACGTCATAGCTGCAGTGCTGCTGTGTTAAAGATGCTTGTGTGCAGTTTTGCAGGTGAAGAATGTATAACCCAGCTGTTCTCCTGAACATGCTGGATTCTGCACTCTTTGCGTCTTTCTAACGTTTGTATTTTCAGTTAGATTTCCAAAACCTCGGCACCAAGTTCACTTCAGTCCAGCTCATAAATGGACTGAAGTGGACTCAAACTGTCTTGTTTTGTTTCCAAAGACTAGATCCAGTGTTCTGTTGTGCTGCTAATTAGACGATTACAGTGGGCCTGCGTCTTTCCTTGTATCAAAAGGAGGAGAAAATGAACGTGCATTCCTTTTCTTCTCATCCTCTGTGTCCTTCCTGTTCCGTCATATGTGATTCTCTCTCCTACAGAGTACTGTATAAACATGTCCTTCAAGACCAATCCCTTAGAGCAGGCTTTCAGAAGGCCCAATGTCAATCTACGCTCCAACCCCTTTACTAATCAGTACTGGACCACTGTCAGCCACACGCTGCCAGCCCTGCTCTATGATGGCTATCTCACGCTGATGGGCCGGAAGCCCCGGTAAGGTTGCAACTGCCCCTCAACCCTCTCCTGTCTGCCAGTCTGCCCCCTGCCTCTCCCAATTTCCCCACACTCCACTCCTCCCTGAATGTGTCTTTTTTTTTTTTCCTGGGAAGGTGGAAACAAGGGCAGAAGGAACAATGTTTGCAGTGTCTTTTCTTGACGTCAGCTGTTAATGTAGGCAGTATCCGAGCATGTGTTTTCAATTCAAAGAAGATGCCACGTGCCTTTTTTTTTTTTTTTTCTTTCTTTCTTTCGTGAACAAGCCATGCTGTGAACATGACATCCATTATCCGCCGGTCTTCACCCAATCATGGAAAATGCTGAGGCACCACGAGACTTCATGACCAATCGAGAAAGTTGTGCTCAGTTGGACATCTTGTGTCTCACTGAAAACAACACTACTGCATGCAAACTGATTGGTAATTCATTCTTAGTCTAAATTCTAAAGCCACAAATATTTCAGACGGTAAAAGTGACACCTTTATAGTTTTAAAATCAGCAGTGCTGTTTCTGATTCTAAATAAATAATAAAAATAAATGAAAAATGAATTGGACAAAACTTGCTGTGCTTAACTGTCTGAAATACTCATGGATGGCTGAATGGGTAATTTGTATTGAACCTAACTGGCTTTGTCACCAGCTACAAGAAATGATTATCCCTGCTTCTGTATGCTGATCAACCATGCATGTTTGTCACATCTTTGAATCATACGTGTTCGCAGAAGGAATCTGAGTCATGTCAATCTGCCTTCATTAGTGTAGCAGTTTAAAAGGACAGCATTACAGGCCTCGCGTTGCAGCCTGCCATTTCTGTTCATGACAAATTGAAACGTCTGAAGTAATTTGATCCAAAAGTGGTTAACATTTACAATTTACTGGATGACAAAAAAGGTGGCATTTGAAGACTCTGATCCCTTTTATCCTGCTAACAATATTGGCTGCTTCTTTGCACACTGATCACAACATCACCTTGAATCATTCCTACTAAAAATGTGATTATCTCCATCTGAACTAACACAAAAATTAAGTATCCTAACTGGATTCATCTGTGTTACCAGGAGGACAATATCACCTCCACTGTAAGTTTATTTTCTGAGGAACTTAAGCTGATTTAGTTCATTTTTGTGTTGAGCTTTTAATTATTTTGGGTAAAATATTGACCTAGACTGGGTCATGGGTTCATTTGAGAGTGAACTGTCTGTCCTCCTGGCCTATAAACAGATTAAATCCAGTTGATTTGTTTGCCGATTTGTGTGATTCACTTTGCCGCAGGGGAGAAATTGCCACCTTGACTTGCAGTGCTATGAAAAAGTTTGGAAAATACGCCAATCTTTCAGGCAAGCTATAAACTTACCAAAAACTGTGAAAAAAGTATGACCTCCAAATGTCCTAATCTGGGGTTTAATAAAATTATTACACGATTGAATTTAAATTGTCTGGAAAAACTACAACATGCTTCCTTTGTTCTCTCCAGGAGTAAGAAAAAGTTTTAAAAAGTGCTGGCAAAAGAAAACGATGTGGAGTAGCTGACAAAACTGTTTTCCACAAAGCTTAAAAAAACTTTTTCTTGGCACTTTTTAAGATTTTGACAGGATGGGAACAATAAAAGTTCAAAGTTTAGATCAATAAATCAGCCACAGCATTAACTCCACCTACCTAATAGTTTCAGATTGCTTCATTTGAGTTTTCTAACCAATCTGGTCATGGACAAACATCAGCTGAGATGTACCTTTGGTTTCTGGCACCAGGACTTTGGTATTACTAATTCGAGAATGTGGTTTGTAACACTGAGTGTTCACTTCTTCTGTCATTTGCGTTAACGCTGTGGCTGATGGCTACCGTATGCAATCTCATAGCACTGTACAGCTCAAATGATCACTTTTTAAAATCAAGATCAGCTTAATCAAATGTGCAAATCAGTGAAGTCATGCCCATAGCGTAATCGGAGAGGTCAAATCGATCTGAGATATACAGGAATAACAAATTTGACTGCAAACGGTTAATTTATATACATACATATATACATTGCTCTCTCTGGTACCTGTCTTTTATAGCCTAATATTTCTCTAGACTGTCTAACCTCTGCCCCTGCTCCCAAACACTTTGGCATACTCTTCTCCTTTCCTTCTCATCCTGCCTATTTATCCCACCACTCTTTATCTGTCCTGTCCTCTTCCTCATCTTCCTTCTGGTCCTACTCTGCAAACACTATTTATCCACAACACTGCTGTCTTTTCCTCACACTGCCCCTCCGCTACATGCCGTTTGCCATAGGATGATGAAGACGATCACTCGCCTCCACAAAGCCATGATGGTACTGGAGTATTTCACCAGTCACTCCTGGGTGTGGAACACTGACAACATGGCCATGCTGTTGGCCCAGATGAGCCCTGAGGATAAAAAGGTAGGGAGGGTCGCTATGAATAAACAATGTTTAATCATCGCTCCGCACACAGCTTCATTCACACTCCGTGCCTCAGTTACCCGTGCCTGCCCCGCCCACGCTGCAGTCGTTTACACGCTGTGGCAGAGTGGAGTGCCAGAGTGATAATGTCTTGTAGTCGGCTGGTAAGGCAGAGCGTGATTCATTCACTGCTGACGTCAGTTTGTTGTGAACGGGATCATTGTTCTGCGTTGCAACTGTCTGGAGGAATCTGGACTCAACATTACGACACTGACGTCTTGTGGAGTCTTTTCGAGAAAATAATCAGATGCTTTCAATCCGGGGCGTCAAATTCATGTTACACTGGCCACATACAGCATACTTTCATCTCAGAACTTTAGCTACACATTTAATCCCTGATGACTTAGTAATTTAAGAAAGAAGGGCAAATTCAACAGTTTTTCTAATGGTGCTGTAGCAAAGAAGGAAATCTCCTGGGATGCCTCTTTGGGCTTAAAGTAATAAGAAATAAATGTGCAAGTTCACAGAAAGTTCTGGTAGCTCACTGCCCAGACTAATTATGAAAATTATTAAATGAATTCAATGCTTTTTCTACGGCAGTTCTGTTGCAAAGAACGGAAATTTCTATAGTGGATGGGTTACTCAGTTATTTAGGTGTAGCATGAATGGCCATCCGAGATGTTTTTATGTAGGAGAAGCTGTAACGGTTATGAAAATACAGTTAACTTAAAAATACTGGGCTTGTTCCAAGCTGTCCAGTGGTTTGATTCTGGCCCCCGGGCCTTATGTTTGACACCTCTGCTTTACATTATATTAGCAAAGTTAAACTTTTAATTTCACAGAATTTATTTTTTATTTATTTATTTTTTTTAGTGCATTTGTCTCGCCTAACGAGGATACAGGCTCCTTAGACGGAGGATTCAAGGGCTTGAATTTCCTTACTGAAGCAGAGACTCTGTTCCCACGTCCCCCAACAGTTGACCACACAGTGCCTCGCTTGTATTATTTCCTAGAAGGCACCACTGGGGGGGGGGAAAACTGCCACAGTAAGCTGGAACACTGTCAGATCCACAATGCAGCCTTCTTACCATGAAAGCATCCCCTGTTGAGAGTTGATTTAAATGTTTGTTAATTCAGAATCGATAAAGGTTTGTCATGAGTACGTCTCGCATAAACAAATGCTGCTGCTGAGGCATACTGAGGGTGTTTCTTGTTTCTCTTGCTGCAGATATTTAACTTTGACGTGCGTCAGCTGCACTGGGCAGAGTACATGGAAAATTACTGTATGGGCACCAAAAAATACGTCCTCAACGAAGAGCTGTCGGGGCTGCCTGCTGCACGCAAACACCTCAACAAGTAAGAAGTCTATGAAATTAAATCTGTCATCCTTTTCTCCAACACAGAGACACAGGAAGTAGTAGCATTCAAAGTGCTGGGCTCTGGCAGGCTCTTTAAAGTTCACCACACAAAAGATGCTTTTCTGCATCGCCAGTTAAATGTGCTGTATGCAACTTTTCGTTAATGGGTTTGAAAACTTTTTATTGACAATATTTTAAAAAAAAATTTAATTTTTTTTTAATATTTAATTTTTAAATATTTGCACAAAAGATGCAGAATTGTTGCTCACAAATCCAAATACTGTGTTGGCTGATTAAAGTAAAAATGCAGGGTGGTTTGTTTTTTGTTTTTTGTTTTTCCTCTTTGGGGAGGGGGTGTTTATGCAAGACCACACTGGGGTAGATAGCCAACTAGTTATAACTTGGTTACACAATATTTGTCTAGTATTACTTTGGCACATCCAACTCACTCTTATTATACTGATACAAGAGTACACAGGGTATATGCACCAGTGTCCTAGTTCGTGTACAGTGTACAGGACTTTGGTACATGCTGCACTCGACCATTGCAGGACAGTGTGATGTATATGGTATTACTGTTTGGTTGGTCGCTTATACACAGTTTACAAGCATGTCTTAACGTCTGTGAGTCTTATTAATTAGGTTATTATTAGAGAGCATTCATTGGAAATGACACATTATCAATATGAAACAGTCTAGGGTGGTGTATCGCATGTCTCACAATCTGTTTTATTTCCAGGCTGAGGAACATTCGTTACACCTTCAACACCATCCTGGTGGTGTTTATTTGGCGCATATTCATTGCCCGATCCCAGATGGCCAGAAACATCTGGTACTTTGTGGTGAGCCTCTGCTTCAAATTCCTGTCCTACTTCCGAGCTTCTTCGACCATGAGATAGTGACCGAGGGACGTGGTGGCGGGTTGCGAGGCGGAGCGACAAAAGAAATTAAGAAAAGACTGGCTGTGGATGGTGAAAGGTGCTTGTGTTCAAAGTGCTTGGAAAAGAAAAAAAAAAACAATAAAAACATCAGTCTCTGGTCTCTTTTTCATTGACACCACCAAACCATTTAACAACTCAAATACAGATGGAACTACCTGACAAGCCTGGAGTTCACAGGGGTCTGTTGGCTATCTGGATCTCTGGCATTTCATAGAAACTCAGTGCATGGATTTATTGCACCATACAGCTCCGATTCATAGCACTTGGACTAGTTGGAACAAGCCTCGTTCTGTTTATTCCCAGCATGTCCGGTCCTCCTCCTCGGCGCCAGCTTTGCTCAAGAGCAACCTTCTCTAAACCTGCTCATCTCGCATCTTTGTGCTCGCCTGGCTGTCTTCCTGCAAAACAAAGCTATGCATTGGATGATGATGATGCTGCTGCAAAAATCCCCAGCTGGTTTTGAATCAGTCCAGGCTTCAGTCGCGTCAGATATGTTTTAAGTTGCAAGTGTAAGTTGTATATCTGTCATCTGAAAAGATAACTGGTTTTGCTGTTCTTCTTCTGGCTTGTCTGTGGTTCGTGTCATTTTTATGGTATGGAACGTTTTTTAAAAACAAGCCGGAAAAAACAAGGGTGGTTTGGTTTTTGGTTTTTTTGTTTGTTCACCTGACAGCAGCGTTGGCTAGATGCTTAAACAGTTGGTTGATTTGACATTTTAAGAGGCTTATTCAGGGACCGGCTGACCTAGGGATCACTGTTTAACTCTGTCATGACCTAACACCAAGAGCAAAGCCATTTTAGCTAACACGTGACATTTGCAGCAATGGCTTGTGGAAACTGAAGTATAAACACGGGAGGGGCTTGCTTATGCTGATTTTTGTCCCACAAAAAGAATGGCCTTTAGCCCCTCTCGCTGCTTGTGAGAAAGAAACTGTCAGCAATGATGCACCTCTGCATGTTCCTCCAGTGGACTACGGTGGCAGACTCTCTAATTACAGCAAAGCACAATGTAGATTGTACTATAGTGGCTTTACCCAGTGCCTACAAACCAACGGTTCTTGCATCAGCAGATATCCAGCTTCTTCTTCAGTTTCCTTTTTTGTTTTAAATCACGTCTGAAAGTTATTAAGCTACACTTTTGCCAAAATGCATCTTGGCTAACATGCTCCTCTGTGAAACGGTGGGGGTGAGATGGTTATTTCTTTCTTCTCGAATGCTTGGAAATTAAACGCTCTTGTACCGGTACAAATCTTGAGTTCCACACTGTTCTTTTAGTACACTACTTTTCAGGTAGCACTAATTGTAGCTCGCCAACATTGTGAAGGGTTTAAGTCGTTTTTCTTTGCAAGTGCTTGTGTGTGCATGTGTTAGAGTAACTTCGCAGGACATACTGTATTCTATTGCTGCTGTTTATAACCTCTTGGACCATTCGTTGCCACGTTAAGTCTTAAATTGTTGGAACTGAGCTAATCTGCGCACTATGTTATGTTTGTCTTTTCCCCGAGCTTTAATGAAGCAGGGTGTGACTGCGTGCTGTTTGCTTGCATCTTAGGCCATAGAGATTTCAAGCACCTACATGTTTGTCGTGCCAGAGTCACTGAGGAGTGTGATTTATTTTTTTTTCTCCCCTTCTCCCAAATCTCACAGCATGAGTCATTTTGCATAGATCGTATGAAAGTCCAAGACTCAAACCTGAATTGTGCCTGAACTTTTTGTCAAGATAATGTGAAAAGAAAGCAATCAAATCTGTTTTCTAGTTATTTTCTGTATAACTCTATTTAGGTAGACGACATGTAACACAACAGATGTATTTTTATGCTGATAACATTGTGACTAGTTTACTGATAAAGAGCTAACTGAACCAACTTCAGCTGCTGTATATTTAAAATTAAAAAAAAAAAAAGAATTTAACCTGTTATAAAAATGTAAATGCAGTAGATTAAATACTGAATTTGGCTGTTACAAGTTGCTCGTCATATCACTTTGTATATACATGCACATTTTAACTTTGTCCATCACTGAATGTAGTAGACATTCAACAGCCTGACTTCATTGCTCAGCCAGATTCTCCCTGACTGAGCTCTGAAAAATTCTGTAATTGCCTGTGATTTTAATATGGGAAAAGCTGAGGGACCATGTGACGAATTCTTGCTTAACTCTGCTTCCTTGCGAGGGTGTGAAGTCTCTGGTGTGATTATGACTGTTCTTGTGTAGTGTGGTGGGGGGAGGGAGGGGAAATAAAGTGCCGCCATGTCTAATTCAGGGTTTTCTCACTTCTGATGTCAGGAACTACTGAATCCTACCAGTGGATTGTTAAAACGGGGCATTGCACACAAGCATTGAAATGATTGTAAACCTCTGAAATCACAGCTTTGAACAGTTTAGGAATTGCATTGCGTTATAGCATTATTTTGCAACAACCAAAGTTTTTCTTTGGCACATTTACATTTTTGTGATATAAGCTTGCTTGCAAGAATTTTATTTTTTATTTTTTTTATTTTTTGGTACATGTTAGAGGAATTTAATGTCATACAAGCAGCTTAGGGAAAAATGTTTGGTGTGCCTCTGTCCAAAACGAAATCCAGCCACCAGAGTAGTTTCTGCAGGGCCAAACCTGATTGCAGCAGAAATTTGGCAAAGAAATAATGTAACACAATGCATAACAGACGTTTGTATGTTTTGATAGAGTAGGTGATGCCAGTTTCCTTTAAGCTAAATTACATTTTGGGACTTGAGAGGTATCCATAGACTGTAGATAAAAGATGTACCCACAGTGCCAACATCCACTGACTTCTTTGAAACAGGATGTGACCATATTTGGATAAAAGTTTGAGCGGAAAAAGTGATGCTACTGCTACTAATGGCTAGATAACTTGGTAAAGTGCCAAAGGTCAAATGTTATGCTAATGTTTGGCTAGCTTAAAAAACTTGGCAGAAAACTGAACACAAAAGAACGGCCACTTAAGTGCATATCTTTAAACATGATTGCAGTTTTAAAAAGTATTTTCTTCATAAGATGCCAAGTTTGGATATTGCGTTGAGCCGGCCTCAAGTGGCCATTCGAGGAACTGCAATTATTGCCATTTCTACTGTGGTTTCATTTTCATAGCAATCGATTTCCAACAGACTTGAGATCAAAATCTCTTACGTGAAACAACTTTAGCTCTCGTAACCTGGCAGAAAAAAAAATGCAATCAAGCAGAACCCTACTTTTCATAGAGGGAAGGGACAAAAAGATTAAAATGTGTTTTCAGGGGTTTTAAAAAGACTCGATGTCCTGAGTATTTATCCCCTGCATCAAAGGAGGAGCGGTAGTTTTATTTGGCCTTTTTAAATGATCAGTTGATCGCAGGGCACGTTTAAGGTGCAGAATAAAGCTTTCATCAGTGGTTGTGAATGCATTTAAAATGATTTAGTTTCAGTGTTTGATTTTTAAAATGTGAGGTTCTTGAGGGGAGGCCTGTTTAATCGCTCCTACTTTGAGTGCAGTGATGAATATCGGCCCCATTCTACTCTCAGAAGTTGGGAAAGGGATTCTTGTCATTCATTTTAATGTGACACTCCTCAAAATATATCAATGGGTGCCTTTTGTTTGTAAACCAAAAAGAAGGAATAAACAATGTTTAATCTTCTCCTAGTTCAGAAGTTGTTTTTCTTTTGTAGTTGAGTCATTCTGGCACACAGCTGTAAATCACATGACTGAAGCATTAGTCTCAATCTGTCCAGCTGACCTGTTTTCCTGTTTCCTGTAGTGCATTACAGATCAGCACTCCACCTCACGCGCTGTATCTGGAAGCCAGATTAAAGTGGAAGCTATTAGACGGCTCCATTAAGATTCAATATGATCAGGATTATACTTCAGGGATGAGAGGATTGGCCTGTCATCATTTTTGATGGCCGTTTTCATTTTCTAGAAACCACGACTGGAAGGGCTGCATTTCTAATAAAGCTCAGAAGCCGATCATTGACGCTGCACTGTGTTAACCTTTACTTTGCACACTTTTAAGTCTAAAACCAGTCTTGCCATAGTTCTGAAAGCTCAGTCACACTGTGTGAGCCCGGACAGGAGTGGGTAACATGATTAATGTAAGTAAAAAGCACCTCCAGAAGAAAGGTTGTGGATGCTGGAGTCTGCATTCCAACAAGACTGCAGTCATGAGAGATTCCATCTTACCAGGTTTTATCAACATGCAGTTTGTTGCGCCACAGTTGGTGTGTATACTTCACTAATGTCCTTTCATCAACGCTATTTCAGACCTGGTGGCGTATTGCTGGAGATCTGAGTAAGTGCAGTTATTTGGATAAGTAGTTGTCTAATTTTCTGACTCAGATTTATGATCTCCGATGTTCACACAGTTCCGTCACACTCTTTGTATTGATAAAATCAGAGCACTGTAAATCTGTGGACTGGCCTAAATCCATAAGTGTTGGGACAATTGGGACAATGACACAATGGCTTCCTTCGCTTGCATCAACTTCTCTTTGGACCTTATATAGAGTTCCCGTAAACTGCTCCCAAATTCACTTGGATCAATCCCAGATCTTTTCTGTTTCGTCTGTCCTTGAATAAAAAAGGAAAAGGTGCTGTTTGTCATATAGTTGTCAAATTAGTGTTTGAGCCTCTGAAAATGGGCCATTGTGTATAAAAATGGCTGTAATTCCTAAACATTTAATGGTGTACTTTGTTAAATCACTTGAATTAAAACTGAAAGTCTGCACTTCAATCAAAGATTGAAATGTCATTCATGACATTAGCAAGCTACTGTGACCATAAACTGTATTTTAAAGATGGATGTTGCCATCGTTATATCAGCTTTACCAACCTCAATGTTGGTGTTTTGGAGCCAATAGTGATCTCTGAGCAAGAGGATGGAGTTATCAGCTAATTCTGCAAAGTTTGATTTGCAAGCTAAATACTGCTAAGCAAGAGAATTCTAAAATACTAGAAGTTTTCTCACCAAAAGTGTAGCAAAAAACTTCTTGGATGGGTTGTACAGCATGGCAGCTCCTATGTTTTTGCCAGATAAATCAGTTACAAACGCTCAAAGTGTTCGAGGGGTTTGGTTCTTGAATTTGTGGAGGTGAGTTCAAGTAGACTGTGTCAAACATGGCCTTAATTAGGGAGTCTTACCCTTAATTTCAAGTATCTGACTGGGAGAGTAATAAAACAAATATTACATGCATACCATTATGTGGAAGAACCAGCATGGTTTTTAATTTGATTGGAATTTTTAACACTGCACATTTGCTCACATTAGTTTTGGTTATTTGCAGGTACTTAGTTAATATAGTATTCTGATATAAAGAGAACAAAGTTATGTTTTAACTTAGTAAATGCTCTTAGAAACTGGATCCAGAATCCCACTAACAAGGCTGGGATAAACGTACACAGTGAGTTCGGGGAAAAAGCAGATGTAAACATGCAACATAGTTTGGTTTGAAAGTAGATGTACAATCTGGGGTCCTTGTGTGAAGAATTGGCTTAATATTTGGAACACAACATTAATTTTTATTGTACTCAAGACCTGTAAACTTTACCTGTATAATCAGGCTTCTTTAAGCACAACATTTCAGGTTGGAAACAATATTAGTCTGATTGAGGTTAAAGTTTGTTTACTGAAGTGCTAAGCCTTCTGTGCCCGCATGTTAATGCTTCCTCTTTTACATAAAGAATTTATAAAGACTGAATTGCTTCCTACCAATCGGATGCTATTGTGTACAGCTACTACATATTGCTCAGACATCGATCTGGATTTATGTGTGAGGAGGGAACCTTTCATCGCTCCTCTTGTCCAGCTTTACACAAACAAGAGAAATGAAGACAATGATCCGTTGAAGTCTGACCTCGTTTCACGCTTCCATTTATTGTTTATGCCAATTGTTACCGACAGCACGGTATTTTACGCGTCTCTCTGCAACACCTGGCAACAGCAGCCCCGGCAACTGTGGCCAAGCAACTATGCCAAGCACTGAGTCACATCCAGTCATGTACACCCTGTGGGGTCTGGGCCACTGGGCTGCATAAACAGGAAGCAGGGGGCTTATAAGGCTTAGAGTGGGAGCCCCGAGGCAGAAAACACTCACATAAATACACACTAAATGTCTATTCCATTTTTTAATTCAGGGAATGCTCATGTGCAGGCTTTTAAACACTCGTGGTCAATAGCTGCTCATTTGTGTACTTGTTAACAAAATGGCGATTCAATCTATAAGTACTTTATGAAAGCTTTTGGAAGTGTTTTCATGTGAGTTACTTGGAAAACCCTCCGTGGGATTGCTGAGTAAAGCCGGGAAATGAGAATGTGGAAAGTTGATAGCAGGGATACTTGTGGTTGTGCCTGTCATAGTTGTCATGTAATAATATGAGAAATTTGTAATCTGCAGTTCACCTCAAATCTGTGGAGCTTTTTAACGTCTTTCAGCTCGTCGTCGTGGTTCCGTGGCCTGCAATGCTACTTTTTATGATTTAGGCCATGGACCGTACAAAAGATGGACGTCGCTACCCACTGGTTTGTGAACTCCTGTTTAAAAACCCTGAGATGAGTGTGTTCCCGGTTGCCATCTTGATGTCATGAGTGAGGGTCGATTCTGATGGTGATATCCTGCACAATCCACCTTTTTTGAGTCTCAAGGCCTTCAGGACACGTAAAATCCATGTGAATCTTTCGTGCATTAAAAATGTTTTTCGGACTATTCATAATGCAGCCGCTCACACCAAAAGTATACTCAGAACCAAGCTCGATTCTTCAGATTTTTCAGATACAACAGATCTAACTAATCGGATCACTGAATTTGGCAACAAGCGAGCTCGTACCTCAAATCGCACAGCGGTAGAGATTACACAGCGAGATGGAAATAGTAACCTCAGACACAACAAAACAGGATGTTGCTTGATGTTGACATAATTTTATTTTTACAGTGCACAACGAGGTCAGATATGGAAGATTCGGCATGTTGTGTCATTTTTTTTTCATCACACATACGATGTGTAACGGCCTTTAGAATGATCAAAACTTGCAAAATGGATTTAATGTTTTATTCAGTATAAGTAATTTACTACATCAATAAACTCACTCTGTAGAAACCACAATTCTTTTTGCAACCACAGACATCAACCTCTGGTGGAGTTAAAAGAGATGCAGGTTTAAGGCACTTACGCTTCACTTTAGGATCTGAGAATTAAGTGGATCTTTTATGCCGTCTGTGCTTTATATGGTCAGCAAATCTGGTTACAAAGTTAGCATGAAGCTGGACTTGGTGGAGCCCAAAGCAGAGCCAGAAGAGAGGATATATAAATATATTAACCTAATAGATTATTATGCTCATACCTGCACACTCATGTCTTCCTGGCTGTTAATGAAACAATATGAGCAGCTTTGGATGAAAATCTGTTTTTACTTGTAACCCACTGGTTTTAGTTGGAACAATGTATTTCTTAAAATATCTACAGTACACTTTCCTTTTGGGAATACTCTACTGATACTGCTACTTTGCTGATATGCCACACTCGGTGTGTATCTAATTTCCACCTCTCAGAGCAGAATACTCCGCCGCACTTCTCAGTCATTTGCAAATGTAACTGGCAGAGGAAACTCTCATGTTGAGGTATTTTTTTGTAGCACAGGTTAAGAAAAAGAGAAACGTTCTCACAGTGCTGCTTTCTGGTAAGTAAAAGAACTTTTCAGCTGCCTGTTGTCGTTTTTGTTATCACAAAGTGACAAATGCGATCAGGACTTGTTATTTTTAAGCTTTTACAACACGTTTTTTGACCAAGCAATACAGTAAGTGGTGTTAATCTAATATCCAATAAAGCAAACATCTCTGAAAATGAGATTTGTGTGAAATTTTAAAAATGTAAATATTTTTCTGAATGTCAGATGATTCAGAGGACTCCTTCACAGAGGCTGCAGCTTTGACACTTGGAAGATTTTGTCGTTTTATTTCTCTGCTTTCCCCGTTTTCCTCCCTTTCTGGCTGCTTTTACGTCAGCACTTCTTTTCACACAGGCTGTACGGCAGTAAGTGTGCTCTCTGTCCTTTTGTGCGTGTTTTATGACTGTTTCTCCCCCTTGAAGGCTTTACAGCTGCTGCCCTGTTTTTGAGGCACCAATAACACTCTGCACACCTCACCACAGCTGACCTTGAGATGATAAACACTTTCACCACTTTTCTCCAACTAATTTTTACTGCGACATTTGAACTCACCAATCACCATCACGGCCAGCCTTTACTGGTTTGTTTGTGAGTATACCCTCACATCACACTAGTCCTTATAAACCTTTTTGTCTGCCCAGTATGAGACCTTTTCTCCATGCTTGGGTTATGATGAGGACCACCGCCGCTCTGCTCTCTCTGTATTTTTGGGTAAACACTGACATCCATGCTGCTCAAACAGGTGAGTAATAGGATGGGTGCTGAAAAAAGGAACACACAACCTTTCATGTCTTAAAATGACACAGAGCTGAGGGAAAATGTTGTCAGTGGTCTCAAAAGTGTTGATGCTTTCTGTTAGGTTCGAAATGTGGAATTTCTCAAGTGTGGAACCCGACGGTTTCCTCTCTGAGGGTGGTAGGAGGAACTGAAGCCATGTACGGATCACACCCGTGGTTGGTCAGTTATTTAGTTCTTCTTTCAGGTTTCTCTCTTTCTTTCTTTTCTTTAGCTTAGCTGTCTGATCTGACTGCTATTTTGCTTATCTTTAAAGATGCATATCAGTGGTTAAAGTTATTGTTGAACTTTCCTTTCTTGTTCACCCCTGATGGTTATCAGCGGCCATGCAGGCTCACCACGTATTCTGTCCTCCACAAACATGACATGGTTGCTCATGCTGGTATTTCCTGAGGATCACTCAATGACAAAGAGATGGGAGTAACCTTTTACACTATGAACCAAAAAGGACAGCTCCGTGGAATTTTGTGGATAAATTGCTTCGTTGCTCAATTGCTCGGTTTAACCCCTTTAATGCCTAGTATATCATATTTGACACATACAAACTTTTGAAAGTTTTTTTTAAAACTTCTAAATCATCCGTGTGTTTTTCCCCTAGAAAAATGTAAATAAATTACACACACAAAAATATAAAGTATGTAGCAAACAAAATACGCATTGAAACTTGTTTCTTTTTTTTAATTGTCAAAAGGTTCAATAAATGCTTCACTTTCAAAAAAAAAAATTTTCTCTGGTTATTATTTAATGTTTCAGGCTTTAAAGGGTTGCTATAAAAAAATAAAAAAAACCTTATTCAGAACCGCAGTCCTGCAATATGAGAGACTGCAACTTTGTTTGCTCATCATTTTAAACATTTAAACTTCACACATCTGCTGCACTTCACATGAATGTTGCATTCATGGGTCTGCATGAAAAAAGTGTCATTTTTAAGGCTGGTATAGCAAACACAAAGAAAAGGGTAAACCAGCCTTTTCTTTTAGTGACAAACTGACTCATGCTGTTGGCTCTGCTTAATCTTATGGATCGTCTGTCCTCAGGTTTCCCTCCAGAACAGGGGCTCTCATTTCTGTGGAGGATCCATCTTGAGTGACTGCTGGATAATGACTGCTGCACACTGCTTCACATCTTTGTCAAAGTATAAAGCGTTATGTCGCTGACACGACTTATAATTGAGCAGAATTGAATGAACATTTTATGTAACCGGAATAAATGAGAAGCTTTGAATGTTCTCTCTAGAGAGTTTCTCAGTGGTGTGAGAGTCCTTGTTGGAGAGTTTGACCAGAGAGTACACGATGAGGAGGAGCAAGTCTTTCTGGTCAAGTCTGTCTCAGTCCATGAAAAGTACAACCCTGCTCTGCCGATGAACTATGACATAGCTCTCATAGAGCTGAACCAACGCATCCAGATGGGCAAGTTTTCTGTTCGCATTGGTTCAAAATCAAATAACGTGTCATACTGATCACTGTGTTCGACTCAGAGACTCAAACAAGTGCCTTAAACCTGCATTTTGGGTCATATTGAGTAAAAAATCAAGTCTACTGTGTGAATTTCAGTCCAGTTCCGCTCATTTGCCGATGATTTGCAATTGAGTCGATCAGCATGTTTTCTCAGATCCACACCTCATCTGTCACATCTGGTTTCAAGACATCAATATGGTAAAGGAGAAAATGTTATTACAGAAAGCTATGTGGCTACAAATGGAGCAAATCAACTATAAAAATAGAATTATATCTTTTGTATCAACCCTTTCTATCAAATTTTAAAAAACAAAACAACAACCGGGTATCTGAATCTAGGTGGGAGGTCTCTGTTACATTAGAAGTTTTCTGACAGCACTGAATTTTTAAGCTTGAAATGCTGGGATGGTGTGGCTACATGGTGCATGGTTAACACATTCACTTAACATGTGACCACTCGTTGTTTGAGACAAATTCCTCAAGAGTTGTGAGGAAGATCGTCCGACCAATCAGATATGCAGATTTGCTGCGGTGACCCTTTGCAAAGAAGGGAGCAGCAGACTGAAGGTCAGTGCAGTTTTAACATGTAATGGCTCTAAGATGTTCCTTCAGATCCTCAGAGCACAGTGATGTGTATGCAGTCTGCATGCTTGCTTGAAGCATCATAGCTCGTCACAGGACACACATAGCTCACATGCAAGCAAGTACAACTTACAGATTCTTTGTCAGGTTCAACAATGACAAAAGTCACACAAGGACACTGCTGAGAATAACATTCAAGCATGATGCAATGATGTGAAAACAGAAACAAGGAATGTTGTGCTTCTGTTGTGTTTTGTACTTTCGGGCCACCATGGTTTTTAATTTGACCTGATGTGACTTTTTCAACAGGAGCTCGTGTCCAGCCGATATGTCTGCCTTTACCTAATGACAATATCCTTCCTCAGACCGCTTGCATGACGGCTGGATGGGGGAGGATAAAGGAACGTATGTCGTTTTTCTGACTTTTAAATATTGTTAAATTAGACTGGAGCTTTTTAATCTATTCCAATCTATGTAACTGTTTCTTAGGGGGTCGTCTTCCTATGGTTCTGAGAGAGGTGCATTTGGATTTGGTTGACCGAGCCAAATGTAAATATGTCCTCCAAACTCTTAAAGGTTCTATGATGAACCAGAGACTCGTCCGGCCTCAGCCGAGCATGACAGTTCTGTGTGCCGGCCCAGAGACAGGAGGGAGCGATGCCTGTCAGGTATTAAAAATCGTTTCATTATTTATAACTTCAGATTTTTTCTCCATCCTCACAGATGCTCTATTTACAGCACAATTCAGTGCCGTAAATCAGTCATTCTATCCCACTGAGCTTTAAATAATTGACTCATCCCTTGACCCACGACTTCATCCTCTGTCCAGGGAGACTCAGGAGGTCCTTTGGTGTGTCCAGCAGGGTCAGAAGGTCATCGCTGGGTGGCGCTGGGCGTGACTTCCTGGGGTAAAGGATGTGGTAGGAGCTGGGGAAACAACAGCAGCCGGCCCCCTTCCAAACGAGGTTCTCCGGGGATTTTCACTGACGTCAGGCTGCTGCTGCCTTGGATCAAGCGTAAATTGAGAGAGGGTAGGTTTTGATACAGCATATACAGCATATTTGCTTCTAAAGAGTGTGATACGCATGGTGTGTCACATGATAACCATATATGGAGGTAGTACAGTGCTGCTACAAAGTGGCTATTACACCCAGAGATCCATCTGATAACATCTGAATGTCACTTTGTAGTTTAGTCAGGGACAAACTTAAAAAGTAGCTAAAGCTTGTAGAAACATATTGCAGTAAATATGCCTCCACCCACATATCAAGGTGGTGAGAAACCTGTTTTCCTAACCTTTAAAGTGCTGCTTGACCATCAAAATGTGATGTAACAGACAGGAATGTAAACAATGTCTGTTTGTTGAAATATCAGGAGATGAAGGTAAAGATTCTTTGTTTCCTCATCAGCAATCGATTCAAATATGTTCTTAAAAAACAGACCTTCATGACGTAATATACAAACACACTTGCCTTTGTGACATTCCTTTAACTAATCGCCCAGCTTTCTAAGTGTTGTGAGTACAGTACTGTGAAAAATGGTAAATGGCCTGTATTTATACAGTGGGGCAAAAAAGTATTTAGTCAGCCACCGATTGTGCAAGTTCCCCCACTTAAAATGATGACAGAGGTCAGTAATTTGCACCAG